TTTTTCTCTCGGTTATGAGAAGCGGACCGTTCGCACAAGCAGCCGATACGAGACTAGTCGTATAAAATTAATCGAGTATACGCGACAGCACCCACTATAATCCTTCCAAAACTATGATGAAGGAGGGGGAAATTAATGTTTCTGTAACGCGCAATCAGCGCTCTGAATTTTAGGAGAGGGGACTAAGGTAGGATGTTTTTTCTTTATTAAGACGTATATCCCCCCCCCTCCCCCTTTCCCCACCGCATGACATCAACCGCGAAACATGTTCAGACATGTTCGTCTAAAACTGATACCCCATTCCCCCTCCTCGAAGCTCTCGAGTTAGATTTCGTCACGTATACCTACTTATTCTTTAATTTTGTACACTATCGACTAAAGGGAAAAGAAATAAAACATTAAAAAATTTACACATACGTATAAAATTTATTTTTTAAAAAGATGACAATTCTCTCTGGCGCCGCGACCACCAGTTAAATATTTTTAATACATTTTGCAATGCGCAATTTTTAATGTGTTTTCCACATCGCACAGTATTGGTAACATCTAGATTATTTAAAGATTCGATATCTTCGTAATCCGCATCCAGAGTCTCGATGTTTAGGTTTTTTCTCGCTTTACTCAAGCAGATCTACCAGCCATTCTCGTTTCTGGCATCCCTTGACGTACACGAGAGTCGGCATCTTGTCGTCGTCGTCGTCGTTGTCCTCTTCCTCACCGAGCACCGCTGATGTAATTAAACGCTTCACCTTGCTGTACGACACGTTTCCGTCTTCCCATCGTAATCCATGGTGATTGCGAATCACCCAGGAAGCGCACGATTTGTCGGATTTTGTGAGGAGATTCCACGGCATGGGGCATGTAAAGATGTAATGCGCCAGAACGGCCCCGTTTCTCAGCACCGCCACCTCCTTCACGACAAACTTCATCCCGACGACGAAACCTTGCAGGTCGACGAACGTTGGTGCAAACATGAAGAAATATCTCTCTTTCTTCGATGCGTGAATCGAGAGGAATGACGCGCGTTTCGCGACACTCTGATTTTTATATCTTGCTCCCCTCTTTTTTCCCCTCTCATAAATTTGTATCCGGAGTTAAAGAGAGAAAAAATTTTCGTCGACGTTGCCGCGAACACTCAGACTATTTTGCGCACTACGTTGGTCAACGGATTGTACTCGATCACGCGATCGTGTATGATGAGACAGTACGCGGAGGTATTCGGCGGTACGTTCTCCATGCAATCAAATTCTAGTCTGACATCCACGGTGGCGTTTTTGACGGATTCGTTTTGTCGAGAGCAATCGATGATCACGAACGGCCCGTTACGTAGAAAAGTTGAAACGGTGAGACTCGGCTCGAGATATTCGTATCCGTAATAGCCCTTGCAGAAACGCGCGTACATATCGTACAGAATCGCCCATCTGTGTTTACCAAAGTCCAAATTCAAATCGTCATACGGATAGACTTCCGAGTTTAGGTAGAGTTTCACGTTGGTCAGTTTGCAGTCGTCGAATCGGCTCGTGTCCGCGGACATGACGTTCTTCCGACCCGTTTGCAGAGCGAAGATGACGTATCGCGGTTTCTCGAGCTGAGTCGCGGTCTTAATGGCCCACGAGTGCTTGGTCGTGTTCTGCAACAGGGGATACTCGTACAGATCCCACGAACGGAAACCCATACTTAGATATCGTCCGTTTTCCAAGGCGCGCAGCATCGACAGCTTGTTGACCTCGCTCAATACCACGTGAGGCATTCGCCACTGTATCTTGAGTAGTTTGACAGTAGGCTCCAACGCGAGACTTCCCAACAGACAATTGTTGTCGGTGCGCGATCGTATCAAGATTAATTCGTGACGAGCGTTGATCACCACGCGTTTGTAATCCTCGCAAAATCCCAGTAACAGGTTGAGCAGTACGCAGAAATTGAAGTATCCGTTCGCGTTATTATGCGGTTCCCAGCCCGCGTTTCGCAGGATCACGCTTCTGTCGGACGATACCGTAACGTAGTTCTTGAGCGTGCTGGTTATTCCTACGTTTCTTCAGTGATCAATCTCCACACCGTCGAGCTCGTATCGAATTTCATCGAACATGAACGCGACGCAATTATTCCCCAATACCACGTTATCGGCTTGGCCGGCTGCTCTGGTCACCGTCAATGTTCCTTCGACGTAGAGAAAACTTTCGCACGGCAACGTATACAGATCCTGCTGTTGTATAGGTATTCGTATCTCGTCGCTATACTCGAACGTTGTGTTGGCGTACGGGTTGTACGTGTGAGTCTCGATCTTGACGATGCGATCGTCAAAGACCGGCTCGCCTCCGATGTTAAGAATTTCAGTCATCGTTCAGATGTTTCGTACCGCGAATCCCAGAGATTGTAAAAATTTAACGTTCGATGCGTTGAGCTTTTTTCTCGTCTCTGTTTT